AGAAAGTAGAGCTGGCTGTTCAGCTGTGCATCATTTTTTGAATCAAGTATCTCTTGCTCATTCAGATACTGGTAGGTTTTAATTTTTTTTAACCATTTTGTGCATTTAAAACAGTCGAGAAATCGAGATCAGTTCAAGAAATATTGTCTGAAATTGCTGTTCAGAGTTACCCAACTTTATAAAATCCAAGACACCCCCCACCACCACCACACACCAAATCTTTAGGTTTTTAATTTTTTTCATGTGGCTGAAAAAGAAATACCGTAAATTCTGGCTTATAAGACAACCAATCGTACAAGTCGTCTTCAAGTTTTTACTTCAAACTTCTGAGTTAGGCCTATACTTAGCGTATAGGTCAACTCCCAAACATACGATAGTTGCCCAAACTTGGGCCTACCGGTAAATGAATTTAGGCTACTGTATATGATAACCTGTAATAAAACTACATAATTCTTTTTCTTTATGTACCGTTTCCTTTTAGAACACATGCGATCATGGCTCTCCCCAACTTCATGTCCCTTATAGATCTTAATAAACTTTGACTTTCTGCAATTTTTTCTAAGTCCTGTTCCGCCATCAAGCTCATCTTGTATGTTACGCTTTGTTTTCCTCTGTCCTTCTTGCCCGGTATATATCCCATAAGTATCACATTTTCCAAGCTCTCCTTCCTCACTACGTGGTCCACAAACCTGGACTGTCTCTTCCTGATGTTAAGCATTAGTTTCCTTTTTGTTAACATTTTCTCTAAAACTACGTCATTGCTCACATGCTCGTTTCATGGTATCTTCAGTATCCTTCCGTGGGACCATGTTTCAATTGTTTCAAGTTATCTCTTCATCTTTGACTTGATCGTCCAGCACAACGGATAGACAGATATGCCAAAACCCAAATCTTCTATACTACGAATTAATTTGACCTCGAAGTTCGTAATAGACCTCATGCACTCTACTGGTGTAAAAAAAAAAAAAATTATTCGTTCATAGCAAACTCTATATCTCCATTTACGACCAACTTTTGTCAATGTTTTAGTATTAATAGAATTAAGGAAAACACTGTACGAGAAATAGCCAGACAGTTCAATACAACTCAAAAATCACCTTCCTGAAATCGGAGAATGAAAAAAACTGGGTCAATACGTTCCTTATTAATTAACGGCTTCTCAATTTAAAGAATTGCCCCCTGCGTGTCATTGTCAAATAATCTTAATACTGAAACTGTAAACGAAATTGGTTAATCCCCACTGGAAAAGGATGATCCATTTTCAAACAGGACTGCACCCGAAAAAAGTTCCGTTCTGTATTTGCTGGGATATAAAAAGTATCGTTTATCATGAAGTGTGAAACCAAAACGAATCAGTTAATGCGGAGACCTACTCTCGTCAGTTGGAAGCATTGCACAAATCTTTGCAAAAAATGCAACCATCATTTATCAAGTAATTATTTAATCTGGTTTGAAATGTCATGATGTGCCCTTTGGTTACCTTGAATGACATCTGTGATCAAGTTCACATAACTTATTACTTAAGTTCTAGCAGTTATCTAAGCAAAATTATGAGTTTCTTTATTTTTATTATTCTACTGGGATACCGAAACGTACAATCATAGAGACAATACGCACACACACACACACAGTAACATACGCAATTACACACATAGAAGCAGTAAGTCCTTAAAACGTTAAAAAAATATCAATAATCCCTTGAATTTCCGTAGGTGTCTAAATTTTGTGTTTGTATCAGACGTTTAAATTCGAATTTATATTAATTTTTAAAAAATTAAAATAATTTTTAATGAATAAAAAAATATTTTTATAATTTATAATTATAAATTGTATCAAAGCATATTAGGAAAATAATATTTTATTAATATTTATTTGTAATCATTTCACCCCAAGCAAGGGCGTTACAGTGAGTGAAATTGAAAGAAAAGACTGTGTATAGGGGCGGATTGAGGAAAGGATAAGAGATGAACGGGATTCAAAAAGACAGAAGCAACTTTGAGGATAAAGCTCACAATATAAAGGAAATGCTGCGAAAGAAAGTGGTCATAATTTGTTAACAATCGCTCTATGATAGTAACCGTATCTATCTATCTATCTATCTATCTATCTATCTATCTATCTATCTATCTATCTATCTTGTTTCTTTCTCTATCAGTTTGTTTCTTTTTCACCACAGTTTCTATCTATCTATCCTATCTATCTATCTATCTATCTATCTATCTATTTCTTATCTTGTTTCTTTCTCTATCAGTTTGTTTCTTTCTATCACAGTTTCTATCTATCTATCTATCTATCTATCTATCTATCTATCTATCTATCTATCTTGTTTCTTTCTCTATCAGTTTGTTTCTTTCTATCACAGTTTCTATCTATCTATCTATCTATCTATCTATCTATCTATCTATCTATCTTGTTTCTTTCTCTATCAGTTTGTTTCTTTCTATCACAGTTTCTATCTATATATCTATCTATCTATCTATCTTGTTTCTTTCTCTATCAGTTTGTTTCTTTCTATCACAGTTTCTATCTATCTATTCATCTATCTATCTATCTATCTATCTATCTATCTTGTTTCTTTCTCTATCAGTTTGTTTCTTTTTCTATCACAGTTTCATCATTCTATCTATCTATCTATCTATCTATCTATCTATCTATCTATCTTGTTTCTTTCTCTATCAGTTTGTTTCTTTCTATCACAGTTTCTATCTATCTATCTATCTATCTATCTATCTATCTATCTATCTATCTATCTATCTATCGCTGACTGTTCATTATCATTTTTTTAATCATTTCACCCCCAAGCAAGCGAGAATGCTACTAGGACGTAGTGAAAGAAAAGACTTGGTATACGGGAGATTGAGGAAGGAATAAAAGATGAGAACGGGGTTCAAGACAACAAAAGATGGCGATTGATGTTGCATTAAATTTTTGAAGATTGTAGTTTTCAGGGAAAAAAGGGAGTTCCACAGGCGGGAAGTGCGAGAAAAAAACCTGTTGAAATAGGAGTGGATGTTGCATTTAGCTATTTCAACAATAAACGGGTGGGACCTAGTTGCTAATCTAGTATCTCATTTAATTTCATGTAGTCGGGTCACCAGGGTAAAAAAAAAAAAAAAAAAACGCTCGTCAGAGCGATTATATATTCTTTGGTATATATTTATAATTTTTTCATAATTTACGAGAGTTGATTCACGGTTTTTCTACCAACCAAGAACGATCCATCCTCAAGAACGTACCTTTTTTTTTTTTAAAAAAAAACAAGTTAAATAAAAGAAAATTAGTATAATTATATATTATATTATAATTTTAACCTAAGAAAGGCAAGAATGCTGCTAGAACACAAGGGGTTGGGTGTGAAAGAAAATAAGACTTTAGTAAGGAGAATTGTGATAAAAGAACGAAGCCTAAGAAGACAGAAGATGATGTTGCATTTAAATTTTTGAAGATTGCAGTTGGCAAATTGGAAGGGAGTTCTACAGGCGATAAGTGCGAGAAAAGAAACTATTAGAAGAGAACATACGGTTAAATCTAGCGAGTTCAACAGTAAAACAGCGAGGCCGAGTTGCTGATCGAGTCGTACGCTTAAATTAATGCAGTCGAGTCACCTAGGAGCAAATCTTATGAGAACAATGTCTATGAAAATATTTAGAGAAAAAGACAGAGGGAAGCCACGTCACGTCACTAAGAAAGTGACTGAAGTCAAGATGCCAGTTTCGAAATTCAATCATATCAATAAAAGTAATCTGTCCATCAGAGCGAAATGCCATGCATAAATATAATCTTTTACTCATGGTATTCAGTCTTTTAAAAGTCTGTGAGAATACCCAATTTACGAGATGGGATCAATATATAGCTTAATACATTGTTATTAATTGAATTTTCACTATTTACATTATTCGGACTATTGTCCTCATCATTGTTGACATACTTATCACAACATTTTGCCCATTGTGTACTCTTGCCTTCTTCAGGTGGTTGGAATGTCGAACTGAACCCTTTATTTCGCTCGCTGGGGTAGACTGTTCTAGTTCCACGTGCCATGTCTAATGGATGTCACTTATCAGTTATCTCCTGTTAATCCACCTCTGCAAGTTCTCCACTGCTTTACCCAGGTATTGAACTCACAACTATTTGGATCCTGTCACTGGATGTAACCAACGTGCCACGTGTCCTTAATAGTCTACACCAGCGAGCGAAATAAAGGGTTCAGTTCGACATTCCAGTCACCTAAAGAAGGCCGGAGCGTACAACGGCCGAAACGTTGTGATAAGTATGGCAAGATTAATGAGGACAATATTACGAATAATGTAAATGGTGTACATAATACCTTATCTCAGAAATATATACAGATACTAATTGAATTTTGATAAGAAATTTTCTGTCTATATTCTCAACTGAATTAAATAAATTAATGAAGGGGGTAATATTTAAAAAATACTTATTCTATAAATTATATCTCTCTTTCACCATAAGGCTGTGAACTTATTAATATATCTATGTTGGTATATAGATAAACGAATAAAATAACTTTTATAATTTTAAATGCAATGCGCTTAATTTCCTTCTTCCAATAGTGCATTTGATAAAAAGCATTGTCGTAGTTGACATTTAAAATGAATGCTAAGAGACAAGAGGATGTAGTGGCAGGTGCAGCAGAATAAGTTGAAGGAGAAAGAAAGATTATGAAGAAGGTAATAATATATAAAAAGGATGTGTATAGTTATGATTTAGAACCGAATACATCCAGGTACGATAAAATAACGTATTTATGATATAGGGAGATACAACAATGTTCATAAGAGAAAAGAAAGAAGGAAAGTAAATAGCTACAGATTTGAAAGAGGAAACAAGGAGAAAAATGAAATGCGAAAAGAAAGAGAGAAAAAAAAGGCGTATGGAAATAAAAGGGGTGTAAATGAGGTGAGAGAGAATTTGATAATGGTATCGATAAAACAGTTGAGAAATAATGAAAAAGGCAGAAATGTGAAAGGACTGTAAAGTCAGAGAGAGAGAGAGGGGGGGGGTGAGGGGCTCAACTGAAATAAATAGAAAGAATTAAGAAGAAAATAATTGAAGAGAGAGAAAGAGAGAGAGAAAGATAAAGAGAGAGAGAAAGAGAAAGATAAAAGGATGATGGGAGCTTCTTTGAAAAAAAGAAAGAAAGAAAGAAAGAAAGAAAGAAAGAAAAAAAGAAAGAATCCCAGAATAAAAAAAGAAAGAGTGAAAAAGAGAGAAAGCGAGAGAGACGGAAGGAGGTAGAGAGGAAGAGAGAGATAGAAACGAAGACGTAGACGGAGGAAAGAGCGTACATGTGAGAAGCTTTTAGAAAGATAAGAGTAAAGAAAGCCAGAAAAAGAAAGACAGTCAGAGATAAATACAAAGACGGTGAAAGAGGAAATAAGAAGAAGAAGAAGAAGAAGAAGAAGAGAGAGAGAGAGAGAGAGAAGTGAGAGAGGATGAAAAATGGAAGAAAAAACGGAGAGAATGAGACAAAGATGCATAAAGAATGAACGGAAGAGAAAATAAAATAAAAAAACAATAACTAAAACGTAAATGCGATTAGAGAACAAAAGAACAAAAAAAAGAAAGAAATATTCAAAAAGAAAGAAAGAAAGAAAAGGATAAAAAAAAGCATCCAGCAAGGTGGCTGCTAGTGAGAGACGTGAAAGTATTGGTGTGTGGGTCCGAGTTTCTTGCAACCTGGAAAATTCGGCACACATTCCGCGCAGTTGGCATGAATTTAGCTGCAAACGGTCGAGCGGAGAAGAGCGAGCAATTTGTATCCGTGTCAAACACGGCTTACATCGTAGTTAGGCCCATGTATAAATAAAGGCGTTCATGTCCTTAGGGGACTGACCAGAGCGAAAGATAAGAACGGTACGGGTAATAGGACACAATATGGTTGCTAAACAATTCAGATGCAAAGTAAATGGATGAGCTAGGTTTGTGAAGGAATTGCGATGAGTGAAATGGGGATAGGGAAAGGCGATGAGAAGCAAAAAGGCGGAGTGGAATGGCAGGAAAAGGATATGGGAGCGAGAAGAGAAAAATTCAGCTAGAAACGAGGTAATGGATAAAAATACGAAAAGGAGAATGATGTGAAAAGTCAAACGGAAAGAAAGTGTGAAAATTACAGACAAGGGATGGAAAGCAACGAAGATAATAGGTGAGACAAAAAGGACATGCTGTAAGTAATAAGAAAGAGATAAAAAGAGGGAACTTTACAGTGAGTGAGAAGGACAGGAGAAGTTAGAGAGAATGAATACAGATCGAGGAAAGAGAGAGAGAGAGAGAGAGAGAGAGAGAGAAGGAGAGAAAGGAAGAGAGAGATTATAGAATGAGAAGGAAAGACATTGCAAAAGCACTTGTGATGTACAAAAATAAGAGGAATAAAAAAGGTTGATTAGAAGTAGTTCATGTTTAAGAAAGAATATATATATATATATATATATATATATATATATATATATATATATATATATGACAATGGGTAGGATAAAAAATCTAAATACACATATATATACTTTGCACGTACGTATCAATATATTTTTTCCTCATGTGTTATAAAATACAGTGCTCAATGTTATGAACAGAGCTATAAATATATATTAGTAATATATATATATTCAACGTCGATAGCACGATTGAGATTACATTTCAAATCTTCAGGTGAAAATATGTTCTTATATATAACATTTTTGCACCTGAAGATTGCAAGAACTGCATGGAAATCTGAGTTGTGCTATCGACGTTGATATATATATATATATATATATATATATATATATATATATATATATATATATATATATATATATATATATATATATATATATATATATATATATATATATATATATATATATATATATAAGTTCGAAACCTGCCGAACGAAACATCATTTTTATTAAAGACTCTTAAAAATCTAGGCCATATATATATATATATATATATATATAGGGATAGATATGAAAAAAGTGAATAATTTTTTAATGACAGCGCTTTTCGTCTTCCCATGATAGATTGGCGTCTTTAGATCATAATGAAAAGCAAAGCTGTGCGCGTTTCATACTGAGCTGAAGACTCCGACCGTAGCAGATGAATGCGAAACACGTTTTTATTAAAAAAAAAAGGAATTTTTGCAATTTATCTCATTTATCCACTTTTTATTTGTATAAATCCTGCTAACAGGCATAGGTAGATGTGAATACGAGGGAGTGCCGAAAAGATCTCAGTTCAACCTAATTCACACAATCTTATTTCTTGGTCGGTCCGAGGTTTGTTCATCACGACATCATAACATAATGAAAAAAGCACAAATTTAAGGCAACAAATATTTTATCAAAGTAATTCTCTTCCCTCATAATTCACGCTGTCGTCTTGAAAGTGGAGAGAGAAAGAGAGACAGATAGAGACAGAGACAGAGACAGATAGAGACAGAGATGGATTTATTTCCGTTGAAAGAAAGAAAGAAAAAAAGAAAGAAAGAATCCCTGAAGAAAAATAATCAACGAGAGAGAGAGAGAGAGAGAAGAGAGAAGAGAGAGAGAGAGAGAGAGAGAGAGAGAGAGAGAGAGGTGGGGAGGGAGAGAGAGAGAGAGAAGAAAAAGTGTAGGAAAGTATGTGCAATAAATAAATAAATAAAAAGAAAGAAAGAAAGAAAGAAAGAAAGAACATAATTGAAATGAGAGAGAGCACGAGGGGTGAAAGAGACTCGGTTAAAAGAAAGAACGAATAAAGAAAGAAAGAAAGAAAGAAAGAAAGAAAGAAAGAAAGAAAGAAAGAAAGAAAAAGACAGAGAAAGAAAGATGAAAATAATTTAAATGAGAGAGAGCGAGGAGGTGAAAGAGACTCGGTTAAAAGAAAGAATAAATAAATAAATAAATAAATAAATAAAGAAAGAAAGAAAGAAAGAAAGAAGGAATACTGAAACAATTGATGAAATATTATTCTGTTCAAAAGTAGCACTTATTTGCCTGCACCGGTTTGTTAGAATAAGACCTTTTTAAGATAATTAACAGAGAAAGAAAAGGTGCTTCAATGAAATCAATAGAAAAAGAAAGTAAATAAATAAAATAAAATAAAAAACCAGAGATTTTGTGTTCAAAAACACCGAAAAGGAGAAATCTAGATGATACGAGGAAGAAGCACTAATGAAAAAAAACAATTGAAAATAATTAATATACATTTAAAATACATAACTGAAAACGGCAAAAAAATGGACACCTAATCGCAAAAATGGGGGAAAAAAGAAGAAAAATAGCAACTAAATAACAACTGGAATATGAGAAAGAGAAAGAAAAACAGACATTTGTCGGCAAATAATTAAGAAGAGAAACAAAAAAACAAGAAAAAACAGAATTTTGGAAAAGGAAATAAGCAAGAAATTGGAAGATACTAAAAGAGAAATGACGAAGAAGAGAGAAAGAGAGAGAACGAGAAAGAACAAACGTATTTTATTGTGGATGTCAGTTGATAATATGAGCTCTATGAACGGTCAGGTGATGGTGCAAGATTAGAACATGCGCAGCTGCTTACTATGACTGCATCACCAGAGAGCAACAAAGATGATGAAAACGATGACAAAAACAACAACAGTAGGAACAAATGAAATAAAAAAAGCACAAAACTCCGGTGTCTTCGGTGGAGTAATGAATAAGAAGCTAATCTCACAACCGCTGGCCAGCGAGATCGATTCCCATCACAGTGCTCTATATTTAACTCTAGACTGAGTCAAGTGGAATGCATTTATACTCGGCCTCACCGTAAAAGGATATTTCAGAAGTTGGTCTTACAACCCTTCATTACTTTAGTGACTTCAATCCCTTATGTGTGGCTTTTGGCTGTGGACTTCTGTTAAGAATTATTAAATCTGATATTAAATAAAATATGAGACTTAGGCGTCACAAAGTCCGATAATGAATAAAACATAGCACTTTTAGGCAGTGGGAAGTATTATAAATAAAATAAGGCATTGTTAGACTTTGTTAAACATGATATTAAATAAAATATGGCATTGTTAGTTATTGTTAAGTCTGTTAATAAATAAAATAAGGCACTGTGAGGCATTGTTAGGTTTGATAGTAAATAAAATATGATACTGCTAGAGATTGTATACGCTATATCCTATAACACACACAAAATCGAATAAAAAGCTTAATCGCGGTACCCTGTTAGTCACCTTTAATGAAACTTGTATAAAAGAGGGACTGCTGTCCAAATACACAATTATATATGTATACAATTATATATGTATACAGGTAGTAAACCGTTGGTATAATCTAAGTGAATCCTATTAACACAATAGGAAATTTTAAACATTAAATATTAAATGTTAAAACTGACTTACCAAAAGTCCCTCATTCTTCCCTGTTCCTCTCCCCTTTGACCACCACGATACCACGTCTTACATTACCTCCAGAATCTCTTTAAGACTTTCTCTCTCTCCTCCATTTTCTCCTTCTTTTAAATCCCTGACCATCTCTCATATTACACTACTTCCAGTCTCTCCTTGCAACCCCCACTGTTTTTTCCTTTTCTTTCCGTCTTTCCTTTTCTAGCCGTTTTTATTTCAGTAATTTACCACTATTGACAGTTTGGAGAATCCTGTGAATTTTAAATTTTAAATTCACTTGTGAAAATGATCATTAACTAATGGTGTCTTAATTCCAATTGTATGATCTTATCTATCTATCTATCTATCTATCTATCTATCTATCTATCTATCTATTCTTTTCTATTCTATGAATATAACGTCGTCTATGATGTACGAATGTGAAACATAAAAGAATCACGAAATCGCTCGAAAAGAAAAGGGGCCAAAGATCAATGGAAATTTCTACGTTAAGGGAAACTCTAAACTCGGAAAGAGATCCGCTGAGGAGGATATAGGAGTGAATACGCGATGAAAAAGATGGTGGTAGGACATATAGCAAATAAAAATCATGATAGATGGAGCAAAAGGTTTGATTGTTTGGTGCACAGTGGATAGCAAATTAAATAGAGAAAGACCGTAGAAAAGAAGAAAAGTTGAGATAGAAGATTAAAAAAAAATGAATAGCTCAGTTATGGTTGTCGCCGTTGCTGTTGATGGTTGTGATAATGAAAACATGTGTATTTGCGTGATATATATATACACGTATAGACGGATATGTTCTACATATAAAAACGTATTTAACGTAAGCTGAATACTTGGCAGAAAATATTTGAATGAGCAATCAGGAAATTAGTTTTGGTGTATTCATATATATATATTTGTGTATGTAAAGATATGTAAGATGTTCTGACATAATAAATATACAATCGTGTATGTGTCAAGGATATTTATTCATCTACATATATATATATATATATATATATATATATATATATATATATATACACACACATATATATAGATGGTAGAAAATTTAATTAAATCTTTCACAGCATTAATACTGTAAGCGCAACACTTTCTATACAGAATTCAGGTGTTTTTAGCAAAGAAAGGATGAGAGAGAGAGAACGAGAAAGAGAGGTTGATAAACAGAAAGATAAATCTTTCATGGTTGGAAATAGAAAGAAAGTCAATAAGAAGGGGGAGATATATATAATCTATGAATTAAGAGTAGAGTAGTAAAAATAGAAAGGGTGGTCGGAAGAAGTTGAAAGACGATACTTTAAAATGACCACTTTAATGCTTTATTTCAAAAGAACGCCAAACAATTATCTTTCAAAAAAAAAAAAGAAAAAAAAACGAAAAAAAAAAACAAGTTCATGATGATTGAAAGGCAGAATCACGAGCCTGTTATTTTTTTAAAGATAATTATGTAGCGTTCTTTCTGTTTTTTTTTTTTTGTTTTTTTTTTTAAATCAAGTGGTCAATTTAAAAGTATCGGCCGATGAGACCGCCAGGTCGAAACTTTAGTCGGGTATAATAATTGAATTTTTAAAATTATATATATATATATATATATATATATATATATATATATATATACCTGACTCTCCCGTCGAATTCGACGTATGAAAGTTAAGCAGGTCACTTCCTAGGAAACCGACAGCCCGACAACAGCACATGAGATTTGATTATAGTGGTGAAGGTTTCGTGCAGGACCATCCACACTTTTTAAAGGGGCGAATACAGAAACCTGTTGCACTACGTGCCACAAGATCCCCAAACGACCCTCCGCAGGTTTTGAATTCAGAGTTTTCCTTCTTCTAAACCAGTTGCCATCCAAGGCTATAGGACCCAGTCTGTCCTGCTATTTACCCATAGCTGGAGGCAGAAGATTCCCACCTTTCTGAAGGTTGTCATAATCATTGGCTTTAGTTAATCTTTGGAGTTTTGTTGGTCTCTCGCTCATCACATAATAATCAAAGGAGTTAGAATCTGGGGAGTTATGTGGCCAGCTGTAACGGGTAGTGTGGTCGCAAAAATTGTCCGACAGCCATGACTGGTTTATACTGTTTGTGTGGCATGGTGCAGAGACCTGTGGCCTGATATTGACAAGATTGACTTGTAGGAATCGTTTTTAATCATGGCCTGGACCTCCCCAACAAATTCGGGAGATCTTTTCTTATCAGAACGATCAGCTTGAGCTTTCCGAGGTGTCCTACCTTCACCATTAGACTAATCTTACTCTTTCCGAATCATCTGCACTGACCTCAGACGGACAGTCTAATGCTCTGTAATAATCGTTTTGAAGTTTCCGGAAAAGAATGCCAAGCAGTACAGCATGACGTTTCCAAGTTTCTGGCGGAGTGAACTGCGTCAAGGTGGTCTTTTGTGTCGTAGACTGACCCTACCATGCTGTGCCGTCAACTAAATGAAAAAAGAACAACGTGCATGCGTGAAATTAAAATGTAAAATGGCGACAGTTTACCCATCCTACATTATATATATATATATATCTGTTACAAATGGTAAATTTTCGACATTTTATATTCTTAATTTCACGCATGCGCATTGTTTGTTTTTCGGTTTGTTGACTATATATATATATATATATATATATATATATATATATATATATATATATATATATAGTGAATGTATGAGGAAGTGTAAAAAAAGTTCTTCGGCAAGCGTTTTCGTCCTTTAGGGTTTATTGGACTGAATTTGTTTACAAAACAAATTTAGTCCCATAAGATTTTTCTGATATATAAAAAATATATATATCATTATCCCATATATATATATATATATATATATATATATATATATATATATATATATATATATATGTGTCTGTGTGTGTGTCTGTCTGTCTGTCTGTGTGTATGTGTGTGTGTGTGTGTATAGACGCGTTTCGTTATCTGGATGGTCTTTGTCAAAGCAAATGTCAGAATTTCATTGTACAACATATTTATAAACAGAACTAAAAAATATCGTTTGATTTTT